GCCCCCTAGTGTTGTATTCATTGAGCCCCCTAGAATGCCTCTGTTCCCTATCATCTCTAACATCAAAATCAGCTTTTCTGGTTGGCATGTCAATGTCTGGCGATCCTGATCCCTTCCTATGTTTGCACTTATAAGCTTGCCCCACATGCTACAGTGTGGGTGTAAGTAGCCATGCGCCACTCCTTACACATTATGCCTTATCTGCCTTCTTCTTTCCTTGTGTCCTCCCTCCTCACTTCTGCCTACCTCTGGTTGCTCAGGCTACCTTGAAGATGCCTATAAAATTGCTTTCCCTAGGAAGTCCTTGCAATTCCTCTTTGTATTCTCCCTGCCAAGTTGACCTTCCATGTCCTCTGCATGTAGCCATTGGAAAGAAGAATTGGTGTAGCTATGATCAGTTGTATGAGAAAGCAAGCCCCTCCTTGGCATAGAAGTTTTTGGTTCTTTCTTGTTCTCCCTCAGTGCTTAGGAGGGTACCCAGTGTGTGGTAACTCCTGAAGAGATACTTGTTAGTGGATTGTAGGCATCCTGCCACCAAAATGTCTGCTGTGCAATAGGATTGTGTTTAAACTTTGGACTTCCTTCTTTTTACAGGTGCCACTACAGTGATTCCACCACCCTTTGGTAAGTCTGTTTCCTTTTGCACTCAGCACCAAGGCCTTCTCCTTGAGGAAAACCTGCTTTCTTTACTAAGTGATCTAGGAGGATAATGCTTTTTTCTCCTGCTGTGATGTCCATCCTATGACCTGAGATCATGTTTAGAACTCCCAGTTATAATCCCAAAAGTATCTGATCCATCTGACTGATCCTTCTGGGAAGTTTCCACAGTGGTGGTCTCTTGATCTATTCCCATTCCCTGAGCTTCTTTATTTCTGCATTGTTTTGAATTAGAGTTTGTCACTAGAATTCTTTTAGTTTTAAAAATATTGCCGAACAAAAAGCTTCCTTCTAACGTTATATCATGATTCTAGGACAAGTGACCTAATGACTGTGTCTCCCCAACTGCCTCTTAAATTCAATTTTAAATTATCAGGTTATAGACACGTACTTGTTTCTCTCACTCTCTTGTGAATCACATGTAAGCCCCTTTCTCTGAAATGTTTAAAGTGTAGGTGGTATTCTTGCTTTTTTTTTTTGTTGGTTGTTTGTATAGTGAGTCTTCAATTGTTCTAGATTGTATGTTTTTTTTCTGGTTAGTCTATTGGTGTTCAGTGACGTAGCCAGGTTTACACAGCTAGTAAGTGTCAAGTGTTTGGTCTGAGTCCGGATTTTCACTTAGGTCCTCCTGACTTCAGGGCCAGTGCTCTATCCACTGTGCAAACTAGCTGCCCCCTCCCCAGTTTTTAAAATAAAAACATGCTTCCATCAATATCAAAAAATTTTTTGCAACTTTCGTAGGGCAAATTTCCCTGCAAATTTCATTTGGCTATTTCACAGAGTTTCAATGCCATCTTCATTTTTGTGGTGGTTTGCTTCACATTCCAATAATATGTAAACAAAGTATAGCGTATATGCAGATGAGATGAATGTTGTATTGTTAACTAGGCCCATAAATGAAAACAGATGATCTGTGGCTCTGACTTAAATCTCTTGCAAAGTTGTCCCAGAGTGTTGTCAAATTAAGTGGTCAACTCAAGCAGAAATTACCCCTAATCTAAATGGGTACCTCTGACTCAAACTCATTGTATGTAGTCCTCCTCTGTACTGAGGTTTACTTCTTGGTTTCTGGACCAGAGTGAGGCAAAGATTAGGCTGACTAGTATAGCATTAGCATTCCTTCTTAATTCAACAGAAAGCCTGGGTTTGAGTGACAAGAGAAACTTATCATCTTCCTCAGGTCACTTGAGACACTTTGAAATTATATGACGCATAGCCAACCCTTGAGCAAATGATCCCTTATTTTTCATAATGACTTGCTTTGAATCTTTGTAATTTGCAATACCTTTATTTCATCCTGGCGCCCTGGAAGTAAGATGTAACTGGTTGCTACGGTCTAAAATCACAAATGAATTTTGGATATGTTTTCCCTGTCTCTTAAATGAAAAACTCTGCAGTCTGAAGTAATTGCTTAAAGATTTCTAGAAATACCTCAATAAATGAAATAATGCTTAGACTTTTGTATCAAACTAGCGCTGGGCACAGTATCTCACATCAATATAATTTTAAGTCATTTGTCCTCCACTGCTCCTCCCTCCCCCCTCCATGTTATTTTAAGGTAGAGCTGTAATTAGTATGAGGAAGCCATCATCCCTGAGTTTAGCCTGGAAGTGTGGGTCACAATTCCTATATACCACAGCCAGTGTTCTATCACTATATCCACTTGGGGAGGTGGGGCAGCTGTGTGTTGTTTCAACCTGCAGTGGGAATGCTTATCCTCTACCTTCTTCTTTCCCCTCCTTACCCAAGACCGCAGTCACTAGGATAGACTGTCTTCTGTGACTTCAAATATGAATCTGGTCCAAATGTGGACTTGGTTTATTCTAGCCTGGCTTTATGGGCTGTAATCTTAAGGCCCAGTGAGCCATATGTATAATAGTATTAAGGAGGGAATGGTTTTTATTGGTATCAGAAAAAATAGCTTAAAGTCAATATGGCACAAGGAAATTTGGAGTGTTTGCAAGTCATTACATTTATTAGGTAGATGGCATCAATCAATCAGCAGACATTTATTAAGACCTGTTTTTGCTAGACATTGAGGTTACAAAGACAAAGAATGAAAAAAAAATCCCCTCATATAGGCAGCTTACATTCTTATGAAGGAGATAGCAAATATACATAGAAATATAGACAGACATACACAGACAGAATTTTTTGAGAGGAAGGGCACCAGAAGTTGAAAGGGTCAGAAAAGACTTCATATGGATGGTTTTCCAATAGATCTAATTACTAGAGACAACGCGGAATGATTCTCTTTGCCACAGTTCATTCCTGGGCCCACACTTGAAAACTTCTCAGCTAACCCCTCTGGAACCTTGCATTCAATTGGCAAGATAATGAGAATATGGAGTCAACTCCATGCCCCAATATGGCATTGAGGGAGATGAATATTTGTGAATTAATGATAATAAAAACAACATAAACAACAATAAATTTAACTTTATATGTATTTTAAGGTTTATTAAATGCTTTCACAACAAATATCTCAGTTGATACTTAGCTGAGAGGCCAATTTGCATAGTGTAAGAGTTGGCCTCAAAACTAACAACAACAGCAATAATAACTAACATTTGTATAGCACTTTAAGGTTTGCAAAGTGTTTTACAAATATTATCTCATCATATCCTCTCCACAATCCTGGGATGCAGGTGCTATTTTTATTCTCATTTTATAGATGAAGAAGATGAGGCCAAGAGAGGTTCAATGGCTTGCTCAGGGTGACACAGTTAGTAAACATGTGAGGTCAGATTGGCTGAGCCAAGATTTGAACCTAGATCTTTTGACATTTTGTCCAATACTCTTTCTATTATGGTGTGCCGCACCTTACATTTATGTACACATAGCAATTTGTGACTATGGGGTACTGACACACACATACATATACACATATGTGTGTATATATGTGCACACAAATACATAAACATGTATATATGTATACACACATAATCTTAGAATTGAAATACCCTCAGAAGTCGACTTGTCCAAACCTTTCCTAAAGCATGAATTTCCTCTACAACATCTTTGAGTGGTCATTCAACCTTTGCTTGACTCCTGGAGACAGGGAACTCTCTGCCTCTTAAAGCTGTCCATTTTGTTCTTAGATAGCTCTAATTATTAGTGAATTTCCCCATTACTTTCATTTTTTTGGTCCTTATAATATCTTTCAGAGTCAAGCAGAATGTCTATTTCTTCCACATCATAGTCTTTGATTCTTGTTATGTTCCCATCTTTAGAGCTGTTGAGATTCTTTCCAGCCCAGTAACCTACCACTATTCACTGTTCCCCAAAGCTGGTAGATTTGTAATTTGCATGGTCTGTTTTTGGTGGGGTAGAATGAAGTGGGCAGGGGAAGGAATTAAAGAATCATTGGACTGGACTTGGCTATCTGTATATGTATATTCTGTAAATTAGGGAGCTTTGATTGGTGCCACAAGGCTCCATAGTTCTTGACATTCCTGAAATGGTAATATATTGTTTGTTAAGAGATGACTTATTTGGCAACCTTGCTATCTAAAGGACTGCTGATAATCAGAAAATAAGTACAAGAAAGAAAGGAAGAAAGGAAGTAAGAAAGGAAGGAAGGAAGGAAGGAAGGAAGGAAGGAAGGAAGAAAGAAAAAGAAAGAAAGAAAGAAAGAAAAAGAAAGAAAGAAAGAAAGAAAGAAAGAAAGAAAGAAAAAGAAAAAAGAAAGAAAGAAAAGAAAGAAAGAAAGTGAGGAAGGAAGAGAAAGGAAGGGAGGAAGGAAGAGAAAGGAAGGGAGGAAGAAAGAGAAAGGAAAGGAGGAAAGAAGAAAGAGAAAGGAAGGGAGGAAGGAAGAAAAAAGAAAAAAGAAATTATATTGCCTCTGATCTGATCCATTATTCTATTTCCATCTCTCTTCCCCAGCACTTTAATCAGTGGGGGCAGGGAACAGATATAGAAAAAAAAAATGTATCTCCTTGCATGCCTGGGATTTTCCTTATCAGAGCATGGTGTGGTACTGAAAAGCAGATCTATTTGACTATTCCTATGATGGAAAGGTTCTTTTTTGCTTTGTGGATGATACTTATGAGTAGCGACTTCTTGGTTTTAAAAAGGGAATTCTACGGGAGAGAAGGTGGTTTGTTAGTCTCCTACATTCCATAGTCTTTATTTCCTAAGTGATATGAGATTATGACCAAAATAATTCCATTGACATTAAAGAATTCATGGTTTCTCTAGGTGGCCCCAAATGGCATAAGAACCCGATTTTGGGTTTAAAAGGATTTTTTACATCCATGAGTCTCATTTGATCCTTGCAACAGCTCCATGAGACACATAGGACAAGGATTATAATCCTTCTTTTATAGATCAAGAAAGTGAGGCCTGAATTTCTGTTTTGTTTCTACAGCAAAGTTCTTTTGTGGAGGATTCCTTTCCCAGCCCTCAGGGTTCATTTCCAGCCCAAATTTCCCGGGGAACTATCCAAACAATGCCAATTGTGTGTGGGATATTGAAGTCTCAAACAACTACCATGTGACCATAGTGTTTAAAAATGTACAGTAAGTGAAGAGCTTTTTTACAGAATATAAGACGAGCCAATCAAAATATTGAGTATGAAAATGGACAATATCAGGTCCAGAAGCACAGATTTTGCACTACTGGGCATCTAGAAAGAAATACGGCACATGTCAATACATAAGGGGTGGCAACTTCTCCCCATCCCCTTGTCAATCAGCAGCAAGCCAGTAAGTGATGGTTTTAATCAACAGTCATAGCATCCTGACCAGTCTTGGATGGTGATGGGCAACTCAACCAGCCAGTGACATGGGATGCAAGAATCAAGGAGTTCACCAAACTTCTGCTCCTCCTACTTGCCCCCAATGCCATGCTGCCTCAACCTAAGAAGAGAAGGGAGCCCAAGGAATGACTGAGGATGTAGACCATGTTCAGTCACATCAGGGGCCAGTGCAGAATCCTCAGACTGCTACTGTATAGTATAAGTCACTGAGGTGAAAGGGGAGACGTGAAGTGGGGGCCTGGGTATTCCTGAGTCTTGATTCTGATGTACACTGGTTGTGGGATACTGGGCAAGTCATGTAACTTCTCAGAGCTCAAGGCAATTCAGACTACAAGTTCCCTCTCCCCTATCTGAACTGGAACTTTGGTTTTCTGACTGCCATTTCAATGGTCTTTCAAATTGGGCACAGTACCTCACATCAATATAATTTTAAGTCATTTGTCCTCCACTGCTCCTCCCTCCCCCCTCCATGTTATTTTAAGGTAGAGCTGTAATTAGTATGAAGAAGCCATCATCCCTGAGTTTAGCCTGGAAGTGTGGGTCACAATTCGTACATACCACACCCAGTGTTCTATCACTATAACCACTTCTTCATGGGGCTGGCTTATCCCTCTCCCCTCCCTCAGGAGTGAAGTTTGGGGAGGTGGGGCAGCTGTGGGTTGTTTCCACCTGCAGTGGGAATGCTTATCCTCTACCTTCCTCTTTCCCTTCCTTACCCAAGACTGCAGTCACTAGGATAGACTGTCTTCTGTGACTTCAAAAATTAATCTGGTCCAAGTGTGGACTTGGTTTATTCTAGCCTGGCTTTATGGGCTGTAATCTTAAGGCCCAGTGAGCCATATGTATATTAGGATTAAGGAGGGAATGGTTTTTATTGGTATCAGAAAAAATAGCTTAAAGTCAATCTGGTACAAGGAAATTTGGAGTGCTTTGCAAGTCATTATATTTATTAGGTAGATGGCTGGCCTTCAGTGAAGGCAGTTCCCTGTTTTGTGTGATTTGAGGCACCAATTTATCTCAAATATCTTCCTCGCTACCCTGAATTTTGCTTCAATTTCCTAAGTTAAAGAATTATTCTCCAGAGCACGAATTTCTGCTTAAGAGAGATAGCATCTTAAATCATTAGAACCTATCAATGAAAATCAAGTTATTCAAGAAATTGGAGAGAGGAATGGCAAAATAGAAAGGAATACATCATTTGGGAAGGGGAGTGGGAAAGAAAGGCCAGATGGCACAAGAGCACTAAAGAGAAGAAGGGAAAAAGTAGATGTGGGGACAGCAGGTGATCAGATTTCTTACATCTAAGCCAGGATAAAACTAAGATATCCTCTGCTTTCGGCTTTTTAGGCTGGAAGGAAACTGTAACCATGATTATATTCTAGTCTATGACGGGCCTCACCAGACATCCCCATTAATTACACGAGTTTGCCACAGAGACAGAGGTTCCTTTACGTCAACATCAAACTTCATGTCCATTCGATTCATCAGTGATGTCAGTGTCGCCAGAAGAGGATTCCAGGCCCGGTACTACTCTACACCAGATCATGATGGCACTTGTAAGTTTCATCTTCAGTAAAGTGATTGACTAGTTGGGTGACCAATTGGCCACTGAGTTCTCAATCAATGAATTTGCTTAGGTGAAATGAAGGGTAGGGGAGCAGAAATGAATGCCGTCAGTCAAGTTGTAGACTTTTTATGGACTCTGTAGTTTCCATGTTTCTTTTCCTAGTTTTTGAGGTATTGGATGGGAAGTTGGGATGAGGTTGTTAAAACAAAACAATTTTAAAGTTGGAAAAGTTTTCTTCTAACTCTCAACCCTATGATTTTATTTATTTAGAGTTCATCTAATCTAAGTTCCTCATTTTAAAGAAGGGAAAGGAAGGCTCAGAGAGGAAAAGAAGCTTGAAGAGGGTAACACAGCTAGTTAATAGTATCACTGGGAGTAGATCTCATGTTCCCTTACTGCCAGTTAAGAACCATTTCCAACACACTGTGAAAAAAAATGAATCCATGTTCTCACTAGAGTGGATATTTCTTCTATTATTTCAGATTTCATTCCATCAATGCTTTGTTATTCAGTACAATTAACAAGAATTATCTATGCCCTTCTAGAAATCCTCTCAGGAAATCTTCCTTCTTATCCCTGTGAACTGAAGGTCCACCTCTGATTCTGTTAATATTTCACAGATACTAGTACAGCCTTTGGAATGGATAGCAGTTATCCCTCCCTTGGGTCACTTTGGCCAAAGAATTCCTCTTCTAGTGGCTGGTGATGATCCTTAGTATACTTAAATTTGCTGCTCCTCAGAAATCAGACACAGTCTATCACAAGGATCATATTAGTTTTATTATCTGCCAGAGTTAGTGATTTGGTTGCATAGCCTTCAAGAATTATAATCATGCTGTGGCATCACAGTAGGACTCTGGTGGAAGATGAAAGAAAAAGAAACAATAAAAAAATTTGTTCAGTGAAATAGAGCCAAATTCCCATGGTACAATGTTATTCCCTGGGAGTAAGTAATGCTTCTTTGAAAAGTGCATTCACTCTTGCAGACAGCTGAGGTACTGCTCTAGAATCTAATGTGGACCTAGGAATCATCATTGTGGTCCATCCTTATGGTTTATGCGGTCCAATATTCTGTTTGTAATGGTGACCAGGGCAGCGTTTGTAGAGACAATGGCTGTCCTCCTCTAACCTAGTCAGAGTTCTTGCTCATATATACCTGTATGCCTTAATAACCCATTATAGATCTTGACATGGTACTATTTTCAGTAGAGACAAATTTGACATAACAGGTTCATTTTTACTGAGCCAACAAGATTTCATTTTAGATTCCCAAGTGATAATAGTGAGTTTCAAGCATATGTAGGGAAATACACTTTTCTTTGCAATGGGAATTATTTTGTTCCACTGATATTTCCTTATGAAAATAGGCTTATTGATGTCCCATGCCCCTACCTGGGATTATGACTATTTTTTATTGATCAGATCACGACAAATATCATGGCTGTGGCCATGGGCCATATAACTGAAAAGCCTCCCAAATAGGAGTTATATAAATGTATACCAGGGAGTGGTGCTATGTTGCAGGGCTGTGCTTATATCACTGATCTCCCATCCTTTTGCTCCTTCAGAGATTCCGTAAGTGTAATTATTTTTTGATTTTTAGATAGGTTTTTTTTGGTCCATTATAGTTTTATAGCAATAAATTTTGGCTATGTTGAAGACTGCTTGTGCCTTGTCGGTTCTTAATGCTCCATGCAATAAAATCTCTATAACATGTTATAGACTGTCCCATTGTTTCCATCGTTTCTTTGAGAAGAATAACTATTACCTGTTTCTGTTACACCCAAATACACTAACAGGGATTTTATCTTTTGTCCCCCATCAGCTCTAGTGTGCTTACCAGAACAAATGAAAGTCACCATCAGTAAACGCTATCTCCAGTCTCTGGGCTATAATTCATTGAATTTCCTCTTGTATAATTCATCCTGTTGGCCGATAGCAAACTCGAGCTATTTCGTATTTAATATACCATATAATGGCTGTGGGACAACAAAAACGGTAAGTCTTCAATTTGCTTTTTGCAGTGCTTCTTGTAAGAGAAAATGATTCTTTTTAAAATTCTGAGACTCCCAGTCTACTTTGCTGGTTAACCATCCCACATTACCACATAACCATTACTGCAGTTGGTGAGGTCCTTGTTGATTTACTCAAATTAATATAGCATATTAAAGTTTGCATACATGTTATCTCATTTGATCGTCACAATAACCATGGGAGGTAGGTGCTATTATTATCCCCATTTTGCAGATGAAGAAACTGAGGCTGAGAGTTGTGACTTGTCCAGAGTGTCACATAGCTAGCAAACGTCTGAGATAGAATTTGAACTTGGGCATTCCCGACTCAGAGTCCAGAGCTCTAGCTTCTATGCCAGCCAACACATAATAGTGATAATTCACTCTTATATGGAATATCAGAGTACATAAAATGTTTTCATATGCTTTTCCTTATTGGACTTGCACAACATCCTTCTGAGGCAGGTTCTGTATATGGTCTCATTCCCATTTTACTGATGAAGAATCAGAGGCTTAAATAGATACAGTGACATGATTGTACAGAAATAGTGGATACTGAATCTGAATCTAGAAACTAGAATTGGAATCTGAAACTAGATCATTCTGACTCCAAGTGTTGGGCTCTTTCTAATACCACATTCTTCCTTCCATTTGCATTTTCAGCTGTATTAAGAAACTCCCTCTTTTTCACATACCCCCATGATAAAAATAGCTATTTTTTTTAGTAAGTGTCCCAAAAACATTAGTTCACCATTGTAAGATAAAAGGGATAGAGATTAAGAGCTAAAAGAGACCTTAGCAGTCATTTAGTCCAACCTCCTCATTTTACAGGTAAGGAAACGGGGGTCCAGAGAGATTAAGTTACATGAGTAATAAGAGGCAGAAGTGGAATTTAAACCCACATCTTATGACTCTAAATGTAGTTCTCTTCCCTCTGAACTACATTGTAAACAGGATTTTTTTACTCCAAAATCTAATCATGCTATATGTAGTGGAGTCTATTAGGAAATATGTGACACTTTTATGGCCTTGAAATAATTCTTGATAGGAGGTTTCTAAGTTAAAAGGCATTTGAAACTTAGCACATTCCTTAGACAAATGTGACTTCTATAAATGATGTCAAATATATGTACAAATTGAAAGGGACGACTACTTTTGTCTTTTACAATCAATGTTCGATATTAAGGGTGAATTGCATGGCAGCAAAGTAAGTGTATAGTGTTTTTCTTGGACTATATTGAATTAAACAGCCAGCTGAAGGCTTTCTCAGATGGATAAGAAAGGATTAGATATGCCTCTGGGCTCTCAAAGGCAATGCCAGTTCAGCTAAAGCTCTGTCAGGCCCTACTAAGTCAGAAAGGCATTGAGTATTGACCTAGTGACATATAGTGCATCTGTCTTCTGGGAGCTTGCCTCATTGAATTAAAAGAGGCTCATTCCCAGGAAGTTGACTAACTGCTAAGTAATCAATTTCTTTTTTGAGCCACAGCCATGATGAGGCATTTGAGGAGGCCTTTAATGGATGGTCTTATTCCAAATAGTTGTAGACCAATGTCAAGTACTTTTTTCACCAGTATGAGAATCACTCTTAAATTCATGAAGATTATCTCTTAAGACACAGACTAATTGTTGACCCCTTGATGGAAGCCTCATAGGTCCTAATCTGGAATGGACCTCAGAGATTATCTAGTCCAACCCCTTTACTTTTTAAATGGGGAAACTGAGGACTCAAGAAGTTAAGTAGCTTGCTTAAGGATGGCAAGGGCAATAGAGCTGGGATTGAAACTCAAGTTTTCTGATTCCAAAGGCGATGCTGTCTGACATGAAGTACTTAGGATGATAGAGACATACATCCTTGAACCACTGACCCAAATATAGGTGAGATTTATTTTGGAAAAATCAAGCTTAAAGAAATGTCATTTGTCCTTCTACTTATGGACACAGAGCACAAGACATAGAATTATTTTCTTGAAAAATCGATAAATCAATTTATTAATTAGTATTTATTAAGAGCTTGCTGTATGTCAGGTATTGTTCTAATCCTTGGGGAGAAAAGGGCAAAAGCAAAAAAGCCTCAGCCCTCTAGAGGTTTACTTTTTAACAGTCTATGGCTCAAGTGGGGAGGCCTAGCCTTCATATGTTATTACTGCTTCTCACCTTTGGAGCACTTTTGATGCAGGAATCTTACAAACATCAATCTTGGGAGGAGAAGGGGAATATGTTGTTTAGACGGGAGGGGCAGGATTGGGGAGAAGGGGCTGATAAAACTCCTCTAGGAGAGAAGTTGACCTTTCAGGAACTGAATCCCTCACAAAGTACCTGGAAGCAGGTTGTAAAATGTTACAGGGAGTGGTTGTCTTGTTGAAATCAACCAGTTAATCAATATCTGAGATCCAGCATCACTGCACTTCTGAATGTCAAAGGAACTAGGGGAACATCTAGTAAAGTCTCACTTTTAACAAATAAAATAAGGAGACCTAAAAGGGCAAATGATTTGCTCAAGAGAATTAATGGAAGACCAGAGACTAGAATGCAAATCTCCTGATAGCCAGTATGATTTTCTAAATTGCATTGGAGGGCTACTGCGGTGGCAAGATAGGTTTCCAAGGAGACTGCATTTAAGACACAAGACAAGAAAGACCTTGCAAGTCAATTAACCTTTGTGGGCCTCAGTTTTCATTTCTTTAAAATACGATGGCCCTTTCTGGATCACTGCCTTGTCATAGTGGAGGGGCTTGAGTAGCTCAATGAAACTGTGAGCTACGCTATGTATGGTTATCCAAGATGGAGAGGTCATGGTGGAGCATTCTAACAAAAGATGACCCACTGGAGAAGGAAATGACAACCCACTCCAGTGTCTTTACTAAGAAAATCCTATGGACAGGGTTAAAATGCTAAAAGATGTGACATCAGAAGATTAGCCCCCCAGGTTGGAAGGTGGCCAACATGTTGGTGGAAGACAAAAGGGCCTGGCTGTGCTATGGCCCCTGGGGTCATGAAGGGTCAGCAACAGCAATGAAAACAAGATGGGAGAACTAGGTGACCTCTAAGGGCCTTTCCATGTTGAAATCAGTAACTCTATCAAGATTCGAGGTATTGATGCTCATCTGATATCTTACTTTGGAATCTACACTGTTACAGAGTAAAGCATTTAAATAGAGCATTAACTCCAGCATGCTGGATTTGGAAGCAGAGGACATAGTTTTAAAGTCCTAGCTCTGCCACTTACTATCTGCATGACCTTTAAATTAATTTAGACTTTTCAAGGCTTCCATTTCCTCATCTATAAAGTGAAGAAAGTAGACTAGATGATCTCTAAAGTTCCTTCCAGTTTTATGTGAATGAGCTTCAGTCTCAGAAAACAAAGAGCTATTGGAAGAAAGGCCCCTTCACCCCTTTGGAGTCACAGGGACAAGAGGTAGGAGGTTGCCTATGATAAAGTAGATTCTTGTATGAAAACCGTTCTTTTTTTTTTTTAGAAAAATAAGGCTGTCTTATATTTGGGCCAATGGTGTCATTACTTATTGAAGTTACCCACATAATTCTGGGGTAGGAAGACAAAATCGGAGAATATCCCTGCTCTCAAGTACTTTATATTCTACCAGGAAGGTAAAACATATCCTTTTACCTATCTGTTCAGATGTGTGTCCCAAGGGAACAAAGGACAAAGAGACACACACTCAGAAATAGTGATACATTTGTGTTAAATCACCATAGTCTAGCTTGGCTGAAGAATGAGGAAAAAATCTTGCTAGTCAAGTTTGACCAGCTTGTTAGTATCAGGTAGCCTTGGTGTGATTTGGCTTGAGTTTCATAAACATCTCAATATTTGTTTGAATGTGTGAATTAAACACATTCAGGCAGCATTGCCCAGTGGGAAGAGACCTAGATGTGGAAACAGGAAGCCTGGGTCCAAGTCACAGCTCTCTTTCACGAACTAGCTTTGAGACCTTGAGCAAATCATTTCTCTCTGACTCTTACTTTCTTCATTTGTAAAATAGGGACAATAATGCATTCACTCCCCATCTCATATGACCGTTGTGAATAAAAGGTCTTTGTAAGCTTCTTGCTAACATATACACGTGAGTCACAATGATGATTATTTTTAGTGTAGTTATTATTGTGTTAACATCTTTCTGATTATATCCATGTTTTTCCCCCCACAGATAAACAATGATACTATCAACTATAGCAATATTCTTGTATCAAATCAATCTATTCGACCAAACGGTGTCATCACAAGACAGAAAGGTCTCCACTTCCGTGTTAGCTGCAAAATGCTCAGAAACAACTGGGTGGAAACTATGTTTATTACTAATGAGACTGTTGAAATCAAACAAATCCAGTATAGCAGTTTCCATGTGGATCTGTCTTTTTACGAATCCTCTTCTTTCTTCATGCCTGTGAATAGTATACCATATGTTGTGAAATTAAACCAGCAGTTGTACATCCAAGCAGAAATTCTCCACTCTGATTCCAACCTGGTACTGTTTGTGGATACCTGCATAGCATCCCCAAGAGCAAACGATTTCATGAGCTTGACTTATGATTTAATCAGGAATGGGTAAGGACTGTCTCTGCTGCTGCCTAAATTTAACTTCCCTTCATTAGAATAAAAATTCGGTTTCCTGAAACACTCAAGGGATGGTTTTTCTGGATAATTAGTACTGATAAACCATCAAGTCCTTATAATAATAATAACAACAAAAACAACAATAATAGTAATACCTTAGTTGGGTAGTTGGCCTTTAAAAAAAAGTATTTCAAAGTTCATTTGCATCTAATAGTTCAAATGATCCTCATAACAGTCTCATTGAGTAGACTTAGTACTCTTGTACCCATTCTACAGATAATTGAGGTTCAGAGAAATTTAATGACTTGTTGGTCCAAAGTCACATAGCAAGTGAGCAACTGAGTTCAGGTCTCAAAATTGTGACTCCTAGCTAAGCCTTGTTACTGAAGAAGTTTTTCAAATATATTATTTCATTTTCCTGCTTAATAAGTACAAGCGAAAAGAATTGAATCTTTCTTGGATGATAAAGATCTTGTGGCCCAAGGTCATATTTATGAACATCAAATTTATACTTGCTAGATGAAGTATATTAGGCTTATGTACACAGAGTCCAGGTCAACCTAACGGAGGTGAATTTTATTCCTAATAAATCACTGAAATTAGATGTAACAGGATGAAGACTAGACAAGAAGTAACAAGTCCTGAGTTCAAGTCCTAGCTATATGATCATCACATATAATTTAGCTTCTCTGGGCTTCAGTTTTTTTCATCTGTTAAATGAAATGACTGTATTAGATGATTTCTAAAGATTTTTGCTTCTTCTCCATGGCCATTCTATTGCTCATTAGCCTTTCCCCCCGGGAGATTGGAGGAGGTCCAGCTTTCAGGATAATCTTGCACTAGTCCTTTTCAGATATACTAGTACTTTTAGTCATTTCTTTCCCCCTTGCCCCCTGACATAATTCCCTATACCTAGAATATCTTCTTCCTCATCTTTGGCTACTGAAATCCATCCGTCTTTTAAGATCCAATGCCAATCCTACCTTTTTCATGAAGATTTCCTTGATCTATCCTTCCTCTGACCTCCCATAGTTTTCAATGGTTTTCTTATGTACTCATCATATTCTGTTTTGTATTATGTTCATGAGTGTACATGCCTCCTTCTCCCTCCATCCGCCCCACACACACACCTTCTTACTTACAAGAGAAAGCAACATGTAGTGGGAGGAACTTTGGACTTGGAAACAAGAGATCTGCATTCGAATCCTAGCTCTGACCCTTAGTAGTTATATGATCATAGACAAGTTAATTGACCATTATCAGGTTCCATTTATTTGCTTGAGAATTGGGGATAGCCTCATGAGGCTATTGTGAGAAAAGCATTTTATGAACCTTAACATGATACATAGATATGAGTTCTTATTATTACTTGACTGTAAACTCCCAGAGAGTAAACACCATCGTACATTTCCCTTAACTCTTATGACAGGACCTTTTACATAGTAGATGCTTAACAAATACTGACTGATTGAATAAATGTTTCTATAGGAAAATATGTTCTCAATTTCAACAACTAGCTTATCCGCAAACTTTCAGATCTCTTTATGTATGTAATATAATATATATACATTATATGTAATCCTAAACTAAAGACATATATATGATATATACATGTATGTATGCAACTATATATGTCTACTTATCTATCTATAATGGTATAGTAGGAACAATATTGGCTTTAGAATCAGGAGATCTGGGTTCAAATCCTAGTTTTCCCCCTTACTCGTCAATCGAACAAATCACTTCACCTCCTCCAGTTCCTCATCTATCAATTGAGGGAGTTACACAAGAGCTCTAAGACTCCCTTCAACTCAAAACCTTAAGTTCTGTTTCCTAATTGACTTACAGCTTCTTAAGTCACTGTTGACATTTTTGCTTTGCCAGAAATTTCTTTGACAAACAGAGCCAACAGACCATGTCTAATCCCAACTGTAGATAAATCCATTCTCCCCTAGGGTCACCAGAAGGGCCCCATGCTTCTGAATGGGTGATAAGAACTGGGTCATGGTGTTCTAGGGACAATAGGGCACTATTTTATTCTGATGTTATAACTTATTGGTGAGAGCTGTCAGTTGAATTTCCTCTTCTTTCAGGTGCCCAAGGGACAACACCTACCGAATATACTACTCACCTTACCCGCGTCAAGCACGTTTTGGATTCCGATCCTTTGCCTTCCTGGAGAGATACCCGGCTGTTTACATGAAGTGTAAATTGGTGGTGTGTCAGGCCTATGATTATTCTTCACGATGCTACAGAGGATGTGTAACAAGATTTAAAAGAAACACAGGTTCCTATGAGGAGAAAGTAGATGTTGTTTTGGGGCCATTCCAACTCCAGAAATAAGAAGCAAAAGACTGAGATCTGGTAAACTCAAAAACTTGGTGGCTTCAGATAACTCTAGGAGCTAAGTGGTTAGACTAGTTCAATGAGAAAATTAGTTAATGACTAGAATGACAATTCTAATATGACTAGATTCAATTGTTTCTCTGTGAACCAATTGCTCATGTAGAAACATCCTGCATTCCCCTTGAAAAAAATGTACTTGGTGCCAAAAGACTTCATAGAACAAAGTGATTCTGTGTCTAACTTAAATGTAGAAACCCGGGAAAAGAAATGAGAATTCAGCCAACATGTACTGTCAGGATGCAAAGTTCAGGTCATACATTAGGCTAAAGGGTATGCATGGCAATAATCAAAAGTAATTTGACATGTTCTTTTAGGTTATGGATCCTAACCCACATATTACATATCACGATGGACTGGTAAATGTTTAACAACCAGCTCTTCCGAGGAAAAAAAATTAAACGGACACATTTTAAAGTTTTATCTGCATTGTTAATCTTTTATCCAGCACTTTTTTAAGTTTAGACAATCAACAAAGAAATACATCAAATTCCAATATGTAGCATTTGCTGATCTCCAAGGTCAAAGAGAAAATTTATACATCTGCTCTTGTGAGCCAGTCAAGCTGGCTCTAGCACACACCTGAAATGTCACAGTTTTCTCAGGAAGATAGCCTGATGCGAATGATATCAAGCTTGGGGTTTCCTTGGATAAAAAGGGGCCTATACACTAATCCTTTTTTTTGACCAAGTGTCATATATTTGCTCAAATGGAACAAGAAGGAAGAAAATTGTACTTTTGCAGTGTAGGGAAAAGATCACAGAACTGGGATTCAGAAGGCTGCCTTTAGGTGTTGGCTTTACCAGTGCTGGGGAAATTATGTCACCTCTCTGGATCTCAGTTATCTCATCTGAAAAATGGGAGTACTGGGGCAGCTAGGTGGCACAGTGGATAGAACACTGGGCCTGGAGTCAGGAGGACCTGAGTTCAAATTTGGCCTTCAACCAGACACTTGACACTAGCTGTATGACCCTGGGCAAGTCATTTAATCCCAATTGCCTTATGAAAAAGAAAAATGGGGGTACTATAATTTGTACTACCTCCCTCACAGTTTTGTTGTGAAGAAAGCTTTATAAATCTTAAATTGGTCAATCAAAAAAGATTTATTAGGTGCCCACTATGTGCCATGCTCTATGCTAGGCACTAGGGGTCCCAAAAACAAAAATAGTACAGTCCCTGCTCTCAATAAGAAATACACACACATACATGTGTGCAGGCAAATACACATTACAAAAATCTTTGTGCAATTTTAAGCTATTAAAATACATACATGTATATATTGTGTATGATATATATATATGCATAAATATGTATATATATATGCTAATATACTATATATGCTCAATATGTATATATAGTAATAATGGCTGGCATTTATATAGTGCCAATTTTGTGCCAGGCACTGAGCAAATTGTTTTGGAAATATTGTTTCATTTAATGTTCATACCAACCCTGAGAGGTAAATGCTATTATCCCCATTTTAGATTTGAGGAAACTGAGGCAAACGGAATTTAAGTGATTTGCCATGGATCACGTAGTAGACATCTAGGACCAGATCTGAATTCAGATATTTTTTACTCTGGACCCAGCACTGTATCTACTGTGCTGCCTAGCTACACAGATCTGCATCTATATATCTACACCTAGATCTATCTGTAGATCCATGTCTCTATCTCTATAGAAATCTCTGTATCTCTTACCTTATATTTCCATAGTGATATGGAGATATCCAAGAGATATAAAGATTTCTATATAGATATAGACAGATAAATAAGACTCACATAGATATCTATAGACATATAGATATGGATCTATAGGTGGATATAGATATAGATATAGATCCATGGGTAGGTATAGGTATAGACTATGCCTCTAAGTAGTGCAATAGATAATAGTGCTGGGCTTGGAGTCAAGAAGGCCTGAGTTCAAATTTGGTCTCAGACATTTATTAGCTATAGATAAAGATATAGATAGAGACATAACCTTCAAAATAAATACGAGGCAATTTTGGTAGGGAGAACACTAGTAGCTGAGAGGTAGGTGTGGGGGAAAAACTGGAAAGTGTAGGAATCTAGGAATCAGGAAAAGCTTCATACAGAAATTGGTACAATATAAATGAGTCCTTATTGTGATTTTGCACATAATTATCATGCTTACTATATTAATATTCTATGATTTAAGAATCACAGAATGTTAGAAATAGAAGACATACATTAGAGATTATTTAATACAACCTCCTTGTTTTCCAGAGAAGGGAACTGAGAGACAAGTAAAGGAAATTACTTGCCCAAGGTCGCACTGTGTAGCATTTTAGGAATTATAGAGATTATAGGGAAATATAATGTAATGCAAGTAAATTCCTAAGAATTGCTCCTTTTTAGATTTTTTTTTTCACTCAGGCAAAGAAAGGATGTTCTTAGAGTTAAAACAAAAACCAAACTAAACATCACAAAATACCTTTGGAAATTATTTAGATGACACTTTAACATTTATATTTGATCAGTTGGGTCTTTCTCAGATATGCATCATAAAGAACCTCCTCAAAAGCCCCATCTCTGGTTCTTTTTCTACTCTTGGTTGTGTTCTAGTCCCTGATATTAAATAACTAGGACAAAAATTCAACCATATTTTCTCTCGTCTTCTCAGATTGAGCTGTTGCAGATGTTCATGGCTGGACTGAGTGAATCGCAGGAGAGCTCTAACCCCCTTACTGTCTCTGCTGTTGCCTTCTTTTTGGTTATGATGTTTGCTGCCTTTATATTGAAGAAAAAGAAGTGTCTTTTCTGGAAAGATCGTTTTTCCATAAGATGTGAAGAGCAGAGTTTGTCTGTCTCCCTCTTTGGCACAATGCCTTGGAAGCCATGTGGTCAAAGAAAAGTCACATTCACAAAATCAGCATGAAGAATATGCCCTATGGATTGAGCTCTAATTCAGTTTACATTGGAATAATTGAGCTGGGGGTGGGAGTGGGGCAATGTGGTTGTGAGTTCTCCATGTTATTCAGTAGACTAGATTTGTTTGAAATATTAAGCAGTTAATTTTTTAAATTAAGGACTTGCCAATGTAAAGAAATTCTGCATAAAATTTGATTTGAAAAGCCCAATTAGAAGAGAAGCTTCTGCTAGATGGGATTCCTAATATTTGGGTCTGTATTTGGAAAAAAATATTAAAAATGAAAAATTAATGCAGGCCCTTTAATGCAAATCATAGCTTTATTTTGGTAGATTATGGGCTGAATAAAACATCTTTGTTAAAGCAAATGTTGGTATTATCAGTATTTTCTAAAAGGGCATGTGAACACTGAGATGTCCATTGGTTGTTGGAAGAGATTGTTTCAAATTACCACTGTGGTCTGGTGGAAGAAGATTTGTGGTCTAGTGTTTGAGAAGTCAGGAGGTCTTGGTATTAGTCTCTTCTCTACTTTGCCACTAAGTTGTTGTGTGACCTGAGACAAGTCACACAACTCTCCTCTTTGGGAATGTTTCATCATCTATAAAATATGGGGATTGGACTACAATAGTGTTTGTCAAAGTCAAGTCAAGTAAAATGCCAGGCATTGTGCTAAATACTAAGGATACAAAGACAGCAAAAAAACAAACCTAAAAAACCCAACCCAAACCAACCCAACCCAAAACAAAACAGTCCCTACTCTCTGTGTTCTCAAGGAGCTCACAATCTAATGGAGACAAGTTGAAAAGGACCTTGAACCATCAAGATACATACAGAATAAATTGAAAGTCATCCCTGAAGTTAGACAGTAATATTAAGGAGAGTTGAGAGATGCTGGGGTTTAACTAGGACTTGAAGGAAGCTAGGAAAAAGAGATTAGGTAGGGAGAAAATTCTAGGCATGGAGGATGGTGATAATGTTCTGAGTTGGGAGTATGGAGTTTAAGTATTAGGAATAGAAAGGAGGTCAGTGTCACTCTCACAGAGACCACCCTGGCCCCTTGTGCCCAAAGACTAGATGTGTTATATTTAACTTCTCCCCCAGGGTTCTCTGGAATCCTTATGGTGGTTTGGGGGTATCTACTTTCTTTGACATTGACTCGAGTCCCCATTGATTGTGTTCCCCTAATTTTAGGGGCATCCTGCACCCCAGTTCCACTTAACCATTTACCATCAGAGCATCTTTTACAAAGGACTATCGACTTCAAAGGTATAGAAAGAACATACCATACAAACAGTCCTCTCTCCTTGACATCTGGAGGGCATAATCCCTGCTTACAACACTTCAGTGCTTAGGAAGGGATGGGGGATTAGCCTCCCACTTTAACCCAGTTCCTATATAGTACGGTCCCACCAAATTCCAAGCTCAAAGAACCTCTTGGGCTTGCATCCAGGCACCCTGGCCTCTCAAAACTTCTTGCATGGAGGATAACACATACATCTTACACTACTGGATTGCTAATGTCTTCTAGTGATGTTATTGTTACTCCTGAGGGTCCTGTTCTTCACTGTTCTCAAGTAGTATGAAGCTTCAGCTGAACCAGTAGTCTCTGCTGGAGGTTTGCCCTCTTTACTGTTGCTTAGAAAGGACCCACTGGTAACAAGAGATTCAAAACTGTACTCATTGACCAAAAATATCTCCCCTCGTTCCCATCCAATCTGCTCTGAGAATTAGTGAATGCTATTATGATATCCACTGTGCAGCTAGGTGGCGGTAGGCTTGGAACCAGGAAGACTCATCTTCCTGAGTTCAAATCTGGCCTCAGATATTTATTACTTGTGTGACCCTGGTCAAGTCATTTAACCCTGTTGGCTTCACTTTCCTCATCTGTAAAAGGAGTTGGAGAAGAAAATGGCAAACCATTCCATTATCTCTGCCAAGAAAACTCCAAATAGGGGTCCTGAAGATCTCTTGTAAATCTCAATTCATTTAACTTTTTGGGGCTTCAGTTTCATAGATAATAGATCGAGATCTGGAAAGAATTTTAGTGGTCACCTTGTCTAGTCCTCCCAATTTGTATATGAGGAAACTGAAGGCCATTGAGGTTAAGTGACTTGCCAAAGGTCACAAAGTAGTAAGTGGCAGACATGGTATTTGAATGTAGGTCCTTCAACTCCAATCCGATATTCTTTCCACTGTACCTTGTGGCCTTTCATATTTAAAATAGGGGGAATTGGACTAGATGACCTCTAAAACCCCTTCTAGCTCTAATTCTATGGTCCTATGATCTTTTTTAATCAGTCTCTTTCATCACTAATCAAAACATGCAATACTTTCATATCCATTATTTCATTTGATCCTCACAACAACCCTACAAAGAATTAATATCTGTATAGAATAATTTTACATACATATGCACATACACACATTACTTATTCATGGTCATTCAGCTCCACGATGTAATCTCAGGCAAATGAGCTTCTCCCACCTGGCTACTCCTCCCTCCCCCAAGATGCCTGGCAGATTAGTGTCTGTAATAAACCAGCCAAGGCCCTGAGTGGGCATAAAAGAAAATCGAAGAGAGCTAAGAGTGAGCTTCCCTGAACAGGGTGGGGGCAGGGGACAGGTTGTAACAAAAATGCTTTGTTTCCAGAGAAGAGAGAAAACAGAACCAGTGAAATTCTTAACTTCCTTGGGTACTTGTAGTTGCCACACTTGCTGTGAAACCACAGTGTGAGAGCTCGAAGATTATCCCACCTCTCTCCCCTTCTGTGCTGTGTGGTTTTTCATTCATTTTGCTCTCCTCTGGCTCTTAAACTACTTAGAATCATAGGGATCCCAATTACCAGGTCTTTGTAGTGTTGATTTATCCATGTGATATCTCTTGAAATCCACCAGCTACCTTCAGGGAAGCTTATGTATCCTGATAGCAGATGCCAACCTGAAGAAACTGATAGCCAAGCCTGAGACCCCATTACCGAAAGGCTGCCAATCCTTGCTCTGAATGGCACTGACCATTGGTATCATGCTTTCTGAGGTCGGATATGGATCAATCACTCTAAGCAGAGTAGATTCATCACCCTTCTGGATCTCCAAAACCAATAAAACACAAAACAAAAAATATTTCATGTGCATGTCAGCTCCTAGTAACAGCTCTTACTGCTTTCCCTGATCAGCAATGCCTTTTCCTGCCTGCTTAAAAAAAAAATAAACCTCACCTGATTCAATTTTTCTTGCTAGCATCATTCTACCTCTCCTCTTTCAAAGCTAGACCCCATGAGAAAGATATTTGTAATTGGTGTCTCCACTTCCTCTGAGACAGCTAGGTAGTACAGTGGATAGAGTGCTGGTCCTGGAGTCAGAAAGATTCAAATTCCTGATTTCAATTCTAGTCTCAGATATGTACTGGCTGTGTGACCCTGGGCAAGTCATTTAACTTTATTTGTTTCAGTCTCCTCATCTACTAAATGAGCTGGAGAAAGAAATGGCAAGCCATTCTGCATCTGCCAAGAAAACTCCAAACTGGGTCACAACAAGTCAGACATCACTGAAAACAACTGAATATTAGCAACATCCACCGCTTCCTCTCCTTTCCTTCTCTTCCAGACTGTCTGCAGCATGGTTTCCAGTCTCTTCAGTCAACCAAAACGGCTCCCTCCAAAATTATCACCAATCTCTTAATTGCCAAATCAGCTGGACTTCTCTCAATGCTCATTTTGCTCTTTCTGCAAATCTTTCAACAGCATCGGTAACCCTCTTCAGCTGGATGATATCTCCTCTCTAGGTTTTCATGACAACACTCTCCTGCTTTTCCTGCCTGCCTGCCTGTTCCTTCTCAAGTCTTCTTAGCTACATCTTCATCCGGGCCACAGTCATTGACATCTTGATCGCCCACTTCTCCTTGGCCCTCTTTTTTTAGGTTTTTGTGACACTGCTCTCTCCTCTCTGAGATCACTTCATAGAGCAGGGTGACTATAAGCAAGTAGTTTCAGTTTCCTCAGCATCAGTTTTCTCATTTGTTAAATGGGCTAGTAATTCTTGTTCTACTTACCTCTTGGGGTTGTTGTGAGGATCGAATGAGATAATAGATATCAGAGTACCCCATTGTTTTGGTGAGTGATGAAATGGACTGATTAAAAAGATCACAAGACCATAGATTTAGAGCTGGAAGGGATTTTAGAGGTCATCTAGTCCAATTTATCTTATTTTAAAGCTGTAAGACTGCGAAGTACAGTGGAAAGAGTACTGGGTTTGGAGTCAAAGGACCTAGTGTTTAGTAAATGTTTGTTGACTTGCTCTTTTGAAATCTGGTCATCATGTAAAACTCAATTCAGCCTTAATGTACTAGAAAGAGTTCTGAATTTAGAGGCAAGAGGCCAGAGATTGAATTTCAACTCTCCTACTTATTACTGGTGCATTCACTCATCTTAACTTCAGTTTGCTCATCAATTGAATAAAGGGGGTAGGCTAAGAGACTGCTGTAACTCCTCATGGATCTAAATCCTATGATGTCTGAACTCTGAGGTGTCTGTCCTAACTGGGATTGATGTCCTTTTTCTTCTAAATTCCCAGACACTTTATTGTATATGCTACTTTTTTTAGTATATATATACTGCTGCTAGTGTTCTAAGATACCATGAATATTTTGATTTTTAAAAACAAAGTCTTACTATTTGAAACTACTTTGTATACCATGCAGTTCTATCACTTCAGTTTCATCTTGCTGTTCATTCCAATGTTAATAATGTATGGGATGTCTACTAGCACCTCTGGTGATCCCTTTTCAGGGCTTCTCATCCACCTCTGGTGTCCACCTTCACCCAACCCTTACCTGTGGCTCCAAGAAGCTGTAGCACATGCAGTGGTCACACCCTGGTAAAACCACCTCAGAACACAGGCTATACCAGATAGAAGGTAACTGACAGACCTCAAATCTTTTGGTGAGTTAGGGGGATGTCTGCCTCAAGTGAAGACTACCCCAGGCAGAATGGGCAAATGAGAACAATTTGTTCCAACAAACATTAAGGTGGTTGAAGCAGGCACTGTGGAGTGCTTAGAGCTTGATCAGACATCGAAGAAGCCAAGGTCATCCACTGCATCCCAGACCATTGCTGGTCATCCTGACTTGTATTGTCACTGAACTTCAATGACTCTGGAAGAGAGAGTGGGGCTGATGACTTTGTACAACTCTGCCTCACTGAAATCCAATTCATAAGCAAGTCAAGATATCATCCCATGATGTTGTTGCTTGTCTTTGAAAATGAAAGATGAACAACAAAAATACTGCCTTTCCAAAGTCCCTGAAATGACATATATGAGGATAATCATGGAATATC